CACAAAAAAAAAAAAAAAAAAAAAAAAAAAAAAAAGGCTTTTGCTAGGAGGGATGGTTCATGCCTGTAATGCCAGCACTTGGGAGGCTGAGGCAGGGGCATTACATGTCCTTTTTGTTTTGTTTGCTTGTATTTTTGAGACAGTGTCTCAGTATGTAGCTCTGGCTGTCCTAGAACTCACTATGCAGACCAGGCTGGTCTCAAATTCACAGAGACCTTCCTGTCTCTGCTTTTAGAGTGCTGGGTTTAAAGATGTTCTTAAAGATTAGCCTGAACTATTCAGTGAGACGCTGCCTCAAAAAACAAACCAACAAACAAGACTCAAAAAAACAAAAACAACCGTGCAATGCATGGTGGTGCGTGCCTTTAATCCCAGATCTCTGGAAACAGAGACAGGTGAATCTCTTTGAAGCCAGCCTGGTCTACACAGTAGGTTCCAGGCTAGCCAGGGCTACATACTGAGATGCTCCCAAAACAAAACAAAGTATTTGTTTATTCAGTCATCTTATCTTCTTTTCTATACATGATTTTAGAGTAAGAGGCAAGTGCATGCTATTAAAGTGCAGTGTAATCTTTTTCCAAGGAAGGAAAGTGAAAATTTAGAAACATTAAAATTAGCACTGTATTTATAGCTACCTTGGCTAACTGAATCTTCCAAGTGCTGAACAGTAAACACTATGTACCATTTGTTGAGACATTGGAATGCCACCATGCTCCCTTTCTGTCCGGAGACTACAGAGCTACCTGGGGTTGGGCATACAAGCACCACACCACAGCAATATTTGGGTTGGAAGGACACTATAATGGTGGGGTGGCTGTGCCCCAGTCCTAGGGCAAAGATGGGAAGATGCCTATGCTGGGACCCTCCACCAAGGTGCCCGTTACTCCTAAGGATGCATACCCTCCTGGTATGACCCAGAGCTCTGTACCTGCTTCTCTGCTTGTTTCAGAAGCTTCTGGAATCTCTCATCCTCTAGCACTCCCGGGGGAAGGTCAGTCTCTCCCTGAGCTTTCAGCTCCTCCAGCTTCTGCCGTAAGTCCCTCAGGGCCTGCAGCTCATCGTTGAGGCGACTCTGACGAGTCAGCGAGGCCTGCAGGTCCAGCTCCAGGTCTAGAGATGTGCGCACGGGGCATTCCTGAGCAGTCCTCCTGAGGGTGGGTTGGCAGACTGCCTGTGGAGGGAGACACAACCGGGTCCCTGTTACTGTCTCTGCCCTTCCTCACATGACAGGATGCCAACGACAGGATGCTGGGAGAGGTATCAGCTCTAGACAGACAACTTGCCAAAGGTGCTGTGAAATCTATGCACTTCTGCCTCCTACTGGGGACACAGCAAAGAGCCAGAGAGGGAAGCTGAGTCAGCCTGGGTCCCAGTGTGAACAGCAGGAGCTGGTACCAAGCCAGAAAGCTGTATCATTTTAAACTACAGATCTAAAAGTGGGTACCAGGCCGGTGAGAGGGCTCAGCCTGATGGCTTGGGCAGAGAGAAGAGCTCCCTCAGGGAAGGGCCCAGGTTTTAAATTCTCCCACAATCACTCAAGAGCTGGACATGGTAGAGATGCTGAAGCCCCCATTAGAAATGGTGGTTCAACTCCTGACACTGGGGGCTTAGCGCCACCTTTTCCAAAGACACTGCAAACCAGTTTCCAGCCTTAAGCAGCACAGGTTCTAAACCAGGGCCAAACACATCCTCCTTGGTTCAGTAAGTGACTCCCCGCTGTGGCTCCATGAGACCCAAGGGCTTCCCTCACCAGCCTGAGAGCTGAGAACGCTGACACTCAACCCTTCTGGAATTTATGTTCTTCAAGTCTGGCTCAGGGAATACGTACCCTTTTAACCCTCAAACTTCGTCGTTCGGTGGAGTTTCTCACGAACAATGATTTTTTGGCTAAGGTTGAACTGTCACTGTCACTCCGATTTAACTGATAAGCAAAAATAAAAAGTAAGGAAAGTAATTACAAAGTATCCAACACAGCTGGTGGCAGTCAGAATGGAGGCGGTTATGGAACAAAGCAGGTTGCGAGAGGCGATGTGACCCACCCTCTTCTTGCCCCACCTCTTCTGTGCTGGGGATCAAATCCAGGGCCTCACACATGCTAGGGAGCTGATCAACCACAGAGCTATATCTGTAGCCCATGAGCTATATTTTTCAGAAAATCTTTCACACATAATTTCTTCCCTAGTCTTTGGTTTTCTGAACTTTATTTTCTTAAATAAGTTCCAGGGCTGCCTTTTGGTAGCAGTCATCACAGTCTGTATGTAAAGCTAACTGTCTTATGAGGCAATGTGTTCTGTACTTGTAGCTAACAGTGGTTTGATTTTCTAAAGGCCAGTGCTGAGAGCCTGTGCTGTGGGAACTCGAATACTCACTCCTCCCCTGGCTACGGCTCTGCTGAAGGTCACCTCATCAAGAAAGGCCATCCAGAGCCCTCCTGTCCACTCCAACCCGGTAGCCTGCTCCTCTGTTTCTCATGACATGATTCCACCAAGAGCAACTCAACAGCTTCTTCAGCGTGCTTATTATTTGGTCTGGCTCATTAACAAGAACAAAAGTTGTGCAAAAGAGAAGGGGGTGGAGCCTTTGTTTCTAGGAAAGTGCTCACTAAGGGATTTTATTACCTGGATAAGTTCAGAATTTTAAAAGTAGCTATCTAGTTGTATGTAATATTAAATCCATTTATAGTTCATAAATAATTCACGAAGTAGACTTTGGGGAAACTGATGTAAACCTCACAATTTTCTTCCTGGGACTGAGTCTGATTCATGGACACAAGGTCTTAGAACAGAGTTTTTGTTGTAAAATCCAATTCACATTTTCTCTTCAGCAAGATTAACATGGTTAGAAATGCATATGAAATATGCAAAATGCATTTGTTAAGTCATTTTATGTTTCTAAACATAGAAGTCCAACAATTCTTAGCATCTAAATCCTTAAATTTTATTCTTTTGCCAAGGAAATCACATTAGAGCCAGCAAGACATTGAGTGTTTGGGAAAGCAAACCCAGTAAACAGAACCCCTGGGGTATGATATTCTACACCTGCTCTATAGTGCCTGTACCCATTAGTGTCTGCAGGCAGATCTGTAGTTCCTGTGCACAGTCTCTGGCTATCAGTGGGCCGCTCATTGGCAGAAGGGGAAGAGGCCACCATTGTTGGTGTTTCATCAGCAGCGCTATCCCTTACCCTGCAGATGTACTGGCTCCGCTCGCCTGGGGAGAAGGTTTGTGAGCGCACTATCACGCTGTTTCTCACGAAGGGATGCTGTCGAGAGCTCAGGCTGCTACGGTCTTTGGGGCGAACTGCCATATTGCCATCAACGGCTTCATCAGTATTCGTCTCCTTATCAACCTACAATGAAAGCCGGTGAATGAATCCTCAGGGGCTGGCAGGTGTCTGTGTGTGCTGTTCTTCTAGGGCAGCGCTTCTCAACCTTCCTAATGCAGCCACCCTTCAATACAGTTCCTCAGGTTGCTGTGGCCCCCAACCACACAGTTATTTCACTGCTCCTTCCTAAGTGTAATTTTGCTACTGTTAGGAATCATAATATTATATCTGCAGGCTATATATCTGATATGCAGCCCTTGTGGGGTCTTGATCCCACTATTCTAGGGATCCCACTATTCTAGCAACTAGCTCGAGTTAAGCAGAGACTTCTCTAGCACTGTGTGCAAGGTTTGCCCTTGCTCCATGTTTTGGGAAGGAAAGAGAAGGAGGAGGTTTTCTACTTGGAAATGTATCATCTTTAAACACTAGTTAGTATTCTTTATCAGAACAAGGTATAATGATAAAAATGATTAAAAATTCAATATAGCAGCTGGAGAGATGGCACTGCAGTTAAGAGCACTGGCTGCTCTTGCAGGGTCCCAGGGTCCCAGGTTCAATTTCCAGCACCCACATGGGCAGCCAGGGAATCCGACACCTTCTTCTGGCCTTGCATGAACATGGTGCACAGACAGACATAGGTGATACACCCATAAATGCAAAACAATAAAATAAAAATTAGATGAAAACAAAACGGTGACATAAAATTGTAGACAAGTGGAAAGAAAATGGGTATCTGGATCCTGTATGGTACTTTGTTGACTTTGAATTTTTTGAATGCTGATGGGTGAATGGCAGCTTCTGAGAAAGATTAGATTACAAAAGGGAATGCTGAAATAAACCAGCCTGTTTATTTTTAAATGTCAAAATTTTGGTTTTAAAATGGAAGTTGGGAAATGTGTTGCATTGGGGGGAAACAAAAAGTTATGGTTCTCTTCAAAATAATGAAGATCAGATTTGATTGAGGGAGACCTCCTGAAAATCTTGGCTACAGATATGAAGAAAGAAACCAAGAAAGACTACAGGACAGGTGATGCATGCTGATCCCTCTACTGTACACATACACATTTTGTGTGTATGTTTCTATTGTTTAAAGTATTGTACCTATGCAGCTCATTTAAAATGCAATATAAAGCTCTATTCTTTAGAAGCTAAACCATTTAGGATAATTAGGAAATGCAGGTTAGTAGTTAGTCATGTATAACAATCAAACTTGTCATGTTAGGTATGTTTTCAAGATAATATAGAAATATTTTAGATAGATGTTCTTCAAATATTTCAAAGACCTACAGAATATAGCATTTAAAATATTTTAATAACATAAGGCTTTTTATGACAGTGAGACATGTCTCTGAATTTGCCAAATACAAATGGACTGGATATTATGAATGTAATTTCTAACTGATAATTGTTCTTTTTGTATATAGTTTTACTATGCTAGAGTTAGAACTTTTCCTTTATATTCAGACAAAAAGTGGGAAATGTGAGATATTTGTACATGGTGTGAAAATGTCTTGCTGTGATTGGTGTACTTAAAAAGCTGAACAGCTAATATCTAGGCAAGAAGAGGTTAGGGGGGACTTCTGGAGACAGAGAGGACTCTGGGAAGAAAGGGGGAGAAACCAGCCAGATGCAGAACGAGAATGGGAGAGAGGTAAAAGCCATGTGGTAGAATGTAGATTAATAAAAATATGGGTTAATTTAAATTGTAAAACCTGTAGCTCTAGCTACAGACTGAGCTTTTGGGAGCCAGCTGGCAGGACAGAGAAAGACTCGTTACACCTGTGCCTAACCAAGTCCACGTCATCTTTCAGAGCATGTTTCAGCTGGAACTCCAGCAGCCAAGATGAACTTCAAATTCTTATTTCATGCTTAACACTGAAATAGATTTTGAAACTTGATACATTAAATAGCCCCCACCCCCTGATGTCTCTAAAATAGAAAAATAGTTCCTTGAGACAGTTTTGCTGTGGAGCCCAGGCTGACCCTCCAGTATCAGCCTCTTGAGGGTTGGGATTACAGGGACCACCACACCAGGGTCAAAAAAATACTTGTTTTTTTTTTTTTTTTGTTGTTGTTGCTTTTGTTTTTTGTCGTTGTTTGTTTTGAGACAGAGCCTTGCATATTTCAGGTTGGCCCTGAACTCACTGTACAGCTGATGATCCTTCTAATTATATGTTGAATACCAAGGTACAGCTGTGCTGGGGATTGAATCCAGGGCTGTAAGCACTGGAGCAATGTAGCTCCATCTCCAGCACCAGACAACACTTCTAACAAGCACTCGCAGAACATTTATAGAGATATAAAGTAGTGAGCATTGTCTCTGCCAAATATAAAAAGGAAAACTTAATATTCTGAGCCATGTGAAAACTGTAAAGTGTTTTCCATGCTCTTGGTGATATTCCCATAAAAGCCTTTCACGGTCAGCTTTGGGGCCCACATCCTGATTTAGAATGTACCCAAGAGAAGACAAGCACGTATGTGGCGTCTACAGAGTTTTGTTTGAGGAGAGTGTAGCAGAGCATTTACCAGTGTGGGGATTCCAGTTGGTGGCTGACAAGGGTCTTCAGCATAATGCCTTTCTTTCCTACGCTGGTCTTCTCTCATTTCAGGCCCGCCAGTGCATGAACTTGGGTCTCCTGGGCAGCGACTGCCCTCCACCAAGTGAACTTCAGCCTCTTTTGCAGCCACAGTTTCATTAGAGGCCTCTCTTAGCATCGTTAAGCTATGGTAAAACAAAATAAAACAAAAATCAAAAGCCATTTTCAGTCTGGCAGGCATACTCCATGCCGTGTGACTGGGCATGTCCATCCATTACTTGAGAAGTAACAGATTCATACATGTGATTTGAGACACACTGTGACAGCTGTAAGTTCTTAACTAAGCAGATCAAGCAAAATAAATTCTCATTGTATGTTCCAGGAGTCCAGAGGAAAATCACCACAGTATAGTACAAAAAAGCTAATTTTAATGTTAATGTTAAGTTAAAAGTTATGAAATTTGACCAAATCTCTAGATTTTCAACAGAAATATTCAAGGACCACATACAAACTTTAATTTCAGCATGTAGAAACATGACATTCACTAGCCTGGAATTATTCAGTTGATTATAGAATTAATCATATAATAGTTGGCTATTCTTAGCTAAGACTTGAGGATTACCCATTACTAACTGCTTATCATCAGGCAGGCAGAGACACGTGTAAAGGGTTTGTTATTGGGCTATCAGGTGACTCTCTGCTTCACATGCTCATTTATAAAAGCTGTGGCAGGGATTTAGGTGGTGACAAGATTATGACCACGTGGCTGGAGAGATGGCTCAGCAGTTAAAAGCATTAGCCGCTCTTCCAAAGGACTCTGGAGGTTTGGTTCTCAGCACCTGGGTATTGACTCTCAACCCTCTTTCTGTAACTCCAGATTCAGAAGGGCAGATGCCCTCTTCTGGCCTTTGAAGGCACTGCATGCATATGGTACACATGTATACGCAGACAAAACAGCCATATGCATAAAATAAAAATAAATAAAAAATTTGGGAAATATTTAAAAATAATGCAACCACAGTTTGTACAGAGGGTACACAGTAGGAGTATTCTGAAGGCTTGCAACATGGCAGGCTTTGCTGAATTTCATGTCCTAAGAATAGAAAGAAAGCCTTTTCACTGACTTCTAAATGTCAAGCCTTCATTGCAATTGGTGACATATTGGCAGATTGACACAGACTAGTTATTAAATGTCTAGCCATGCAATGAACACGAGGGAGAACTAGCGATGACTACAGTGAACTGAAACCTACTAAGTATATTCCTTGAAATGTGAGATAAATTGTGTTTTACAAGCATGAGAAAAGTACAGTGCTAAGACACTAAGTCTTTATATCCCTCCCGGGTGCAGACGTTATCCACTGAGTTGTCGCTATGCTTTTTTACATCTCCACTGGAGCCCTTCCTTCAAATGTCCTTGACAGTAGCATTTGTGACATCCGTCCCTCAGAATTTCTAACATGTTTCATCTTTACATGCATACATGCACACAAGGGCAGACTATACACACTAACAGAAGTCCAATCACACATAACAGTACAACAATGGTACATAAAAATTGATCAAGTGTGTTTATATATATGGAAGACACTCAAAATGGAAGCATCCACTAAAATGTGTTTTTAGTGAAAACCTGGGAAGACAGCCTTCACATGCTGAGACATACACAGCATGGGAACCCTTAAGGGATGGGCTACTGACACAGAGGAGGAGACTAAAAAGACTAGGGGAGGGGCCAATACTGCAATGGCCACTTGAATGCTCTTTTCTAAATAGCAGCTTTGCCTAAGAATGCTAAATGATACTCCTAGTCAAAAGAGAGAGAAAGAAAAGGAAAAGAGACAGCCATTTGTACTTAGCTGTGACTCTGTAACAGTGGCTCTCAACCTTCCTAATGCTGTGACCCTTTAATACCATTCCTCATGTTGTGGTGACCCCAAACACAAAATTATTTTGTTGCTACTTCATAATTGTAATTGTGCTACTATTGTGAGTCATAATGTAAATATCTGATATGCAGCCTATCTGATGTGTGACCCCTGTGAAAGGATTGTTCGACCCCCAAACGGATCCCATTCCACAGACTGAGAAACACTGATCCATAATAAGGTATCATAATTTTCTAAATGGATAGCTTAGACAAAAGCAAAAGCATGGAAAATTAGTAAACATCATCACAGTCACTGTGTTGACTTTGCCACAAACTTGCCATGTCTTCTTCTGACACTCTAATGACCAGGGAGAGACTCTATAACCAGCACTCCCTGATGGTACACTGTTTGCCATCGTTCCAAACTAAGATGAGCCTATAAAGGCCCAGAAGCCTCTTCGGAGAAACCAAGGGACCCGAGACCACCCGAGAAAGGCAGTAGCTGTTTACCAATCTCCCCCCGGACCCCGCTGTTCTTCCGGCTTCAGTTCCTCCTCCTCCTCCTGGGCCAGTTCTTGTTCCACAGCCAATAGCTCAGCTGAAGTTCTTGCAAGTAAGGCTGACACGGCATCCTGCAGAACAGAAACCATACATACGGCAGTTAACACCAGACACTCCAAGTATGATTCAGAAACTCCTGTGACGCAGACTCCCGCTCCCAGCTGTGAAGAAACAGCTTGTACCAGATCCAGTTCTCCTGCTGAGAAATACAAAAGCTGAACCAAATGAAACCAAAAACAAATACAAACTCCCAGATGTTCTAAAGCAAGAAGACTGACAGGGGCTGTCGGGACTGGAGGGCTGAAGTCCCAGGGAAAGCAAGGATTCAAGAGAGGTGGCCATCACTGCCTGTGCTTCCTCTAAAGGCATTTGTCAACCTAGGCATGAGGCCCGCAGGCTAAACAGATGGGCTGCCTGTAATCTCGGCCCCACAGTCCACCACATGGAGTGCGGAGCTACCAAGGCAGTCCACACAAAAGGGGTTCGAGGAAATGAATGGTGAAATGGGCCCTACATCACCCAGGATGTTTCTAGTCAGGATTCTGCCTTTCCTAAGTGGCCTCTGTACAGAGCAAGACAGAGAAATAAAGCCAAAACCAGCTGCTACCTGCCTAAACAGTAAGCAGATATTTCATGCCTCACAGGGTTCTGGAGAGAGAAAGCTTGGAATTCAAAACCCCCAGGTGATGCAGGCAACTTTCCCATGCTGCCATCTGCCTTCCAGAAGAACATCAATGTACCTCTAGAAGAATATTTCAGCTGGAGCTTTTACAATCCCTCTTTCAATAATACAGCCTGCATTCCACTAACAGCTAATGGCGAGAAGCCAAAAGAAACAACAGACAACTGAGGCAGACCCACAAGTGATGCAGTTTTTCAGAGACAGCAATTAAGCTTTTACAACTCATATAAAGAAAAACTGATGAAATTACAGATTATTCTAGCATGAACACAAAAAGAAGTGCATAGTGTATTGCAACAAAGATGCCGAAAGTTAAGGAAAAGAGACCCTTGCCAGCAGTAAGAGAAGAAAGTGTGTGTGACTCTGTAGGAACCCTTACATTATAGCCTGCATCAGTGGCAAGGTGACAGATTATAAGGCCACATCTATGAGATCATGAGAATGGATGGGAGAGAATCATGATAAACAGCCACCAATGAGCTACGGAGATGCTAGCCGGTGACCCCGTCACACCAAAGTGCTGGTATGCATTCAGTCCCACCAGGGAAGTGTGTTCGAGAATAGCTGGGGGAACAGTCTGCACCACTGGAAACTGAAGCTGAGCTGAGTCCACTGTGAGGAAAAGCGGAGTCTGAGGTGGAAAGATGAGCGAGACTCACCATCCCTCCAGCCGCTGGGAGTATCAAGGATGTGCACCACAGAAGAGCAGGACCCCGAGGGTCAGCACAGGCTGTGGAGACCCACTTTGTTAAAGGAGTCTTGACAGCCTCCACCCTCTGATACCATGGACACTGCCAGGACAACCTTATGGGGACCCTCAGATCAGGGCCACCAGAAGTTGGTGGCAGAACTTGATGCAGCGCCCTGATGGACGGGACAAAGGTAAACGCAGGTGGGTGGGCTCTGCACACTCCTGGAGCCTGAGGCATGGGATTTGCACATCAACTGAGCCCCCACACACAAGAGACAGGAAATCAGACTGGGGGAGCCTGGCAGAAAACGTTCTGGTTACAAGACTCCTCAGGAGGAAATAGCGGCTTGGCTGAACTACTGGGACTAGCATCCCTCCTTGCTACAACCTGTGGAGTCTGATTAGAAAAACAAACAAAGGGGGGGGGGCACCATACTTCTCCAACCAGGAAACACACAGACAAAGGGTATAGTACTTTCTAGTTCACCTTACTGCCTTTTTATTTTAAAAATAGCAATCCTTCTGGGACAGCCAGAGCTGTTACACAGCTGAGTGTAGCATCAATGAACAAGATCAAGCAAAGACAGAACATATAGACACACACGAAGAAAACTCTTTAATGACTGTGACCCAAACTCCCAAGAACTCTGGGATATGTTCAATAAATCAAACCACCACATAAGGACTGAGATAATCTCTAAAGCCTTTGACAGTCTATTCAGTGAGACGAGAGCTAAAAATCCCTCAAACTTAATAGAAAGAAATAGACATCCAAACACAAGCGTTTAGAGCTGCAAACAGGCATGGCCAGAGAAGACAGAGCCCCTTTACATTGGGGTACCAAAAGTACAAGGAAGGGGCTGAGGAAATGCTCAGTGAGCGAAGTGGTCGACTTGCTTGCATGAGGGCCTGCGTTTGATTCTCTGAACCCAGATAAAAAGAACTGCGCACGCAGCATTCATCTGTAAGACAGTCCAGGGGAGCCGTGGATACATGGATACCTGGGGCTTGCTGGCCAGACAGGCTGGCCATTAAGGCAAGGTTCAGGCCATTGAGGGACTGTCCCCAAAAACGAAGTGAGAGACACGTGAAGAATGAGAGCTGAAGCTGTCCTCTGGCTTTCACATGTATGCTCACATGAGTGAATATATACCCACACACACATGAACGCATGCATACACAACATGCATGCACACCAAGGGAAAAACACCTAAATGACACACAGCAAAGAAGCCACTAAAAGCTGCCAGGGGAAACGCCAAGCCGAATGCAAAGGCATAAACACCAGACTTTTCGTGAGCACGCTACAACCAGGAGAACACAGAATGACATAAACCCTGAAAGTAAGTAATTGTCCCCAAGATTGCTACACTCAGCACAGCCATTGCTTAAAACTTGGGAAATACGACAGGCACACATACTAAAACATTCTTGACAACTAAGCCACCATGGTGGGAATTCACAGAGGAAGAGGACGGTCTTATCCCCTCATCCAAAGCACAAGAGTAGTGACGCTGGCACTGTGGGCCATTATGGGATATTTTGATTGTATCCTGACGCTCCTGAGACTGGTAATAAAGTTTGCTTTTAATCAGAGGGCAGAACTAGCTACCAGCTGAACAAAATTAGCCATAGAGGTTTTGGAGGACTGACAACACAGAGAGAGACACAGGAAGTAGTAGGGCGGGGCTTAGAGAGTTTGAGCTTTTTGGGTCAAGAAATGAGAGAGAGAGGGGAGGTTACTGGTCGCTTCTCCTCTGCTTCTCGGACCATTCATGTTCTCACCCCAATCTCTTGACTCCCAAGTCTTTACTGATAAGGAATAATTAGATAAACACTTCAATGGGCCAATCCAGGAAAAGTGGTAAAGAGCTCAATCATCCAAAGTACTTAACAAGGAAAAAAACATAACGTGCAGAGTTGCAAATATCTCTGGAGAAAGTGACTCTTTTGTGAAATTGTGAAGAAGAAAAAAAAAAAAAAAAACACATGCTCCCACATCTCACACTGCAAAAAAACAACACA